CCCAAAAATGTCTCGCAATCCGGAAACGGCGGGTTCCTCGGATCATTCGAAGCAACTTCTTCCTTTAAAAAAATGTTCTCCGAGGCACCGTTAACGAGTTATTAACGAAAAACAGTGACCAATAAGAATCGAGTACGGCTGACGCGAGGCGGCCCAGCCAACCAGCGCGCGAAGCCCAGTTCCGTTCATTGGCTCGGTCGTCTCGCGCCAGCCGAGCTCGCCTCTCATTGGTCACTGTTTTTCGTTAATAACTCGTTAACGGTGCCTCGGAGAAAATTTTTGTAAAGGAAAAAGTTGCTTCGAATGACCCGAGGAACCCGCCACTTTCGGATTGCGAGACATTTTTCGGACACCCTGTAGACACAAATTTCGTATAGTTTTGTTTACAAGCGATATAGTTTGCTGTCGATTTTAACACGGAGTGCAAAAATGAATATTTTTGACACATTTTACTTTTTTATTTTTATAAAAGCAAGGAAGCGGCCGAGGCTCGCAAAAAAATACGCGAAATATATGGCGTCGATTGCTTAACAGAACGCTCGTGTCAGAATTGGTTAGAAAAAAATTCGAGGCTCGCAAAAAAGTGTGTGAAGGATGACACGTATTTTTTACCAAGACTTCTCTAAGTTTCGATATACCTTTTTAGGGTTGTATTATTATTTCAACTCGATATATTTGTAAATAACTGATATAGTTTGCTGTCAATTTTAACACGAAGTGCAAAAATCAACAATTTTCGACACATTTTACTTTTTTATTTTCATAAAAGCAAGAAAGTGACCGAGGCTCGTAAAAAAAGTTCTCGTTCCGAAGATTTTTCACTTAAAAATGACCAACGTTTTGATCTCGTTAAAGTTCATTTCTTGTATAGAAAAAATTGAGTTCTATTTCACAACGAAGTACCGAAATTACTTTCTTGGCAACGCAACAAAAAACAATGCAATTTATCATCGCTAAAAGATTGCAGATTTTTTACGCACTTACGGGAAAACCGAGTGAGTAAAATACGAGTTGATAAATCATTTAAACAATCTAAAAGCAATTTTGCATCATCTTTGATCCACTGAAATCATCATTGAAGAGATAAGATTTCGTTTGCATAGAATTTCGTTCGCACGTTTAGAGAATTCTTTTAGTTTGAAAAGTCGAAGCAGCGAATAAACGAAACAAATATAAATAATAAATTCTACAGTTTCGATATACTTTATCCATCTCCATATTTAACTACCAATTAGATCATCGCTATTTACAAAGCTCGTCAAACTAATCGCTCGAAGCAGAAAAAGAAATCCTAAAAATTCATTATCTTAATTTATTAATAAATTAGTACAATTTGGTTTCATGAATGGATCGGGAACGGTCGACGGGCAGGTACATTACGAACAAGACCGGTCACTTTATTAGATTTATTAGACCCTTTAAAATATTCTTGAAACAGCGTGCGGCTTTTTTGTTATTTTTTGTTGTTGTTGTTGTTGGCGTAACAGTGAAATATCGTTTAATAAGGTACACAGTACGAAGCTCGTGGAGAGCAAAGCGATCAAGATCGAATGTGAAAATTCCACGTAAACATCTGCCCCGGAACGGAAAGTGTGTCGTCGATTTCGGTTCACTTTCCCGGCTTCGAATAAAAGGACAAAACGGGAGGAAACGTCGTCCGACAGGCGATTCCATCAGCGGCTGTATTATATCTCCTTGATACGAATAGCGAGCGTCTTCAGCTGTTGATCAACGATCGTCGTCGTCGTCGTCGTCCGGTCATCGGGTAAGCTTCCAATTTCATCCTCGCTGATCGATCGATCGATCGTTCGTTCGTTCGAGGTGGGCCGATCGATCCGGTTGCCTGTCCGCGGTGCTCGTGTTGTGGTTCTTACAGTTATTTGTTTTTGTTTTTTTTTGTTTTAGGTGTGAATAACAATGAGATCTATAGTTAGAGTTAAAATCGAAGAAAATTCAGATATCTTAGAAGGAGATCGATTACGATCGAGTCGCGTGTACATCGAGAGATTTAAGACGAAGAAAACGCCAACGAGGGATGCAAGAGGGAGGGGGGAGGGGGAGGCGGAGCAAAGACGATGAGTCAGAGCGGGGCCAATCCGACCAATCCGTAGCCGGCGGCTCCGCTCGTCGACCCGTCGATCCGTCTGTGCCCCTTCCCCCTCCCTTTCCTCGTTCGTTGGATCGCGCAAGCCACCGGAAACGGTTCGAGCAGATTTATCAGTAGACACTTTTTTTCTGCGCAGGTGAACGAAGAAAGAATTGGCCGCGCCGCGCCGCGCCGGCTGTGACTTTATGTTACGCGGGGAACAATTTGTCGCCGTTGTTGACCCTGCCTCTCGTATTCTCGTATTCGCGCGGGACACGCGACGGCGCTGCCAGAGGTCGGATCTGCGTTATTCATCGGACACGGCAGATGGCGCGCCTGCGCCGTTTGTTTACGATCGCACGCGTCCGACGAAACGTACGTTCGTTCGTTCGTTTTTGCTTCGTTCGAAAAAATAATATCGTCGCGTTCGTGGTTCTTCGAGAGAACAGCTTGTTTCCGTTTAATTATTTCATTGAAATATTTCAGATCCGTCGCCGACCACTTGTAAGCTCTTTTCTTATTTTTTAGAAGGAAATGGAGGATTGCGAAGCGTGCCGATGATCGACGGTTCAACGTAACATAAAATCGCAGCAGCCATGTTGTATCTACGGATCTTACGGTAGGCGAGAAAATTGTGGCTCGTGGAAATTAGGTCCTCTGACATTTTTAACCGAAGAGCGTCCGACGGAGAATTCCGGTAAACGGTGGCCCGGCGACCCTGTCGCTGCGCCAGACGGTGCCGCGCCCTGTCGGCAGGACGCGCAACCATTTTCCGCGTTCAGCGGGAAGTCGAAATGTTCCCGCTCTCTCTCTCTCTCTCCTTCGCTCCGTTCTCGGTTCCAGATTTGCGACGTGCACGCTGCGACAGGGGGGGGGGGGCTGTACTCGCGGCGTGCGAATGTCAGAGGGAAGAACAGTGAACGCGATCGTACGTCGCCGTTGGCTCGTCTTTAATTCGTTCTATCTAACACAGAGACGAGAATAGGTAAAATTCTAGTAACCCGGGGACTGCAGCTCCTCGTCCTCGTCGTCCTCGTCGTCGTCGATCCCTGGCTCGCCGAGCGCGTGCGCGAATTCTGCAACAGGAAAATTGTTGGTGAAGCGGCGATCATTGGCTTAGCGATTACTATTATATTTTATATTTAATAATATAAATTAATGATATTATGTATTAATAATATATAAGATGAAATGTAAAAAATAATATAGTATGTAATATTTTTATATTATATATTATATTATTTAAAGAAAAGATAATTTTTTTATATTATGTATTATTAATATATAATGTTATTAATTTATATTAATATATTATATTAATAATATATAACATAAAATATAAAAAATAATATAATATATAATATTTTTATATTATGTATTATATTATATTTAAAAAGGAATAAATTTTTTATATTTTATATTATATATATTATTTTTTATACTTTATATTATATATTATTTTTTATATTTTATATTTTATATTATGTTTTATACTATATATTATATTTCATTATATTTATATTTTTTTACTTATATTATATTATATTTGCGCTCGATGATCACTTTGACACACGTTCAGCGCCGACAAAGGACCACTAAAATTCCCGTCAAAGTCAAAGCGATTTAATAATATTTAAACCGAAACTAGAAAGTTAATTATTTATCATAGATAGTTAATATTTATATCGAACGTCCTAGTCGAATATTCGGTTTGTTCGAATATATTACGATGAAAATGAACGTTCGAAATTAGTGAAAAAATTAGTGAAAAAATTAATGTAAAAATCAAGGAAAAATCCCAGACTTAGAATATTTCAATTTTTAACGGTTCAGTGCATTTTACGCGTATCGAACCGAATCTCGCGCATCTTACAATAATTATAGATTTCACAGGTTTTCAAATAGAAACAAATTTGGCAATGTTAAAACAATTTTGCAACGTGATATAACAAATCTTAGCTCGACGAAACAATTCAATTACTGGTTTCGGAATAATTTTCGCAACATGAAATCGGAATTGAAAACAAAAGTTGTGTTTTTAAACAATTTGTTTAGAAACGATTAAAACACTGCATTCTGTTTTCGTTGTTCTATCCCGACAAAAATATAAATATATAGTAATATTAAATGAAAAAGCAAAGCTTAAATATATAATTTCAATATTTTTATAATTTAAATATATCATTTTCTTACGTTTCTCGTACGGAAATCGACCATTGTGCGATTACGACCAAATTTGGAGCTCTTCAAACATGTCTTCGACACATGTTTAAAAATCTAATATTTTCACTATTTATTTTCTGTTTGGCGCACTAAAGTTGAGAAAAGCCGGAAAAAACGCGAAAAAAATCGCCACAAATTTTCTCGTCAGTGTTTTTGCACATTTTTTGGTACCGACGATGGCCATGTTCGTGCCGAACACAATGGACGTTCGTTTATCCATTTCAGAAAAGAGAAACAGCCGGAATATTGCGGTAACCGTGCAGGCATGTTCAATCGAAGGGGCACCGCTGAACTATTATAGCTGTATCCTCGACGATTTAAAATATTTCTTCATGAAAAAAATCGAGTATACCGCTCATATATAGGTCAGAACTATGCCAAAAATATCACGACACTATCATGTCATTACGGTTCTAAAAAAAAAATCCCAAATAGCGCCAGAAAAATTGACTAGAATATCCCGTTAACGAAGAGTATTTTTATTTTATTATTTTTATTTTTATTATATTATTTTTATTTTTATTCTATTTTTATTTTATCATTTTCATTTTTATCCTTATTCTATATCTATTTATTTTTATTTTTATTCTATTTTTATTTTATTATTTTCATTTTTATTCTTATTCTATATTATTATTCTATATCTATTTATTTTTATTTTTATTCTATTTTTATTTTATTATTTTCATTTTTATTCTTATTCTATATTATTATTCTATATCTATTTATTTTTATTTTTATTCTATTTTTATTTTATTATTTTCATTTTTATTCTTATTCTATATTATTATTCTATATCTATTTATTTTTATTTTTATTCTATTTTTATTTTATTATTTTTATTTTTATTTTTATTATTTATTTATCCGCAGTCTACTGATCGCAAACAATTCCGCGTTCCCGCTAAAACCAACGCATTTCGTACCTCAAAATTATAACACCCTGCACGGCCCGCCCTCTCTTAAATTATAATTCGAATTTCTCGTTCGAGAGAATATGAAGTGCAGAAAATTCGATCGCGCATCGTAAACTAATCGAAATAAAGAGAAGAAAAGCGTATGCAACCGATTTTACACCGGGCTCCCAATATCGCCAAATTGAGGGGGGGAGGGGTGATGCGTTTACAAGCACCCGAAGGAATTTTTGCTCCCATTTTCATCTCGAAGCTTTTCGTGTAACGCGGTTTCTTGAAACCCGTAGAGACGACTTTCGCTTCCCGTGCGCGAAAACTTGGCAATCGTAGCAGCCTTCGTTCACCGAATACCATCCCCTCCCCACCCCTTCCTTGGCTCCGGAAGCCGCGAGGTCAATTGCGGGCGAATGGCAGCGGGGAGACAGGCGCCCCCCACTCCCCCGGTGTCAATCATATTTTCCTCCGATTATTAGAAAGTCTTGCGGAGTGGGCGAGGGGTGGGGGTAAACGGTGCGCGCTCGCAACGTCGTCGGCTTACCGTAGAAATCGATTCGTCCGTCCCCGTCCACGTCCACTTCCTTGATCATATCCTCGACTGAAACACAGTAAAAGCTCCGATCATATATTTCGTCGTGTCTGAACGTCGTGTCGCCGGCACATCCTCCTGACGGATCGGTGGGAGGGGGGAGGGAAGGGGCAGGGGACCATTACGGCGAAGTACAAGCTACGACGGCGCGCTCTGTGCATTCCGTTTCAGCGCGTTTTCTAGACAGCCGCGCGCACATTCACGGAATTTCGGGCCACCGGCACACGCGCGCGCGCGCGCGAAATTATTCCACGGTCGAGTAGGTCACACCGGTTTTGAATTAACGGGCAAAGAAGCTGTGGGAACAGGTACGCTGCTGGAAATGAGGGAATTGGCCGGCAGCCTGGCGTAGCCGAGTCTATTAAATACATGCGAAGCGAACGCGGCGAATAATTTATCATCGTGTATGAAGATTTTCCATTCCGCGACGGTTTTTATCATCGTATCCTCGTGGAACGTATTGGCTTGGCAGGAAAGTAATTTCGGTATTTCGTTGTGAAATAGAGCTTGATGTTTTTTTTCTCTTTTTAGATAAGAAATGAACTTTGAACGGTCGAATGTTTTCTGTTCGACGAGCTTTCGTCGTTTTCTTGTGCTTATTTTTTCTGTGCTTGTCGGTAGAAAGCTTGATCAGGTGCGATTTACTTTTCGGACGAACAAAAGTATATAAATAAATATAATCGAATAATAACGAGCTGTACAGGGTGTCCCGAAATTATTGTACGAGCGAGGAATGACGGGTTCCTGAGGTGATTTCAAGCAACATTTTCCTTAGCGAAAATGCGATCCGCGGCTCAGTTCGCGAGTTATTAACGAAAAACAGTGACCAATCGCGGCGTGAGCGTGGCCGGCGCTCAGCTCTTGCGGCCAATGCCGCGTCGCGCCGGCTACCTGCGGCAGCGGCAGTAGTCGCGACGGCGGAGCGTGGACCGTACGCGATCTGTAAGAAGAAACACTTCAAATGACCCGCGGGCTCCTAGCTCGTCACCCTATATCCTGGCTCCTAGCGCGCCACCTATATCCTGTTTTCGCTTCCGCCCTTTGATCGTTTCAGGTATCGCAACTTTCACTTCACGACGTGCCTCTACCCAGTTTACACGTGCTTCTTCTCCATCACGGACAGTACATCATTCACGCTCGCCATTACCAAGGATCAGATCTCGCATAATCTCTGCTAACAGGTTATGGGCCCAGACTGACCGAATATCGAGTGGAAATAAAATTCGAAATTGTATTGTGCCGGAAGTTAACTGAGAGTAGAATCACGCGGCTCGATCGTTAGAGAACAAAAATGTACGCGTCCAGCATGTCGAGAATTGAAACCCTCAACAAAGAAAATTATGACACGTGGAAGATGCAAATGGAAGCGTTACTGGTAAGAAACGACGCGTGGTCATACGTGAGCGGTGAATTTATACAACCGACTGCCGAGTCAACCGACGCGGAACGAGCCGCGAAGAGCGCGTGGATAACGAACGATAAGAAAGCCAAATCCGATATTATCTTATCGATCAGCCCTTCTGAGCTGAAACAGGTAAAAGGGTGCACGACGTCTCGCGAAGTCTGGCTGAAATTAGAGGGCATATATCAATCGAAGGGGCCAGCGANAAGGCAAGAGTTCAGCACATCTCTACGGGAGAGATGCCCGCCGATATCCTAACCAAGGGACTACTAGGACTAAAGCACGAAAAGTGCGTCAAGTTCTTAGGAATGAACTAGGGTGTCGACGTTACTCGCCCTCGGCTCAAGGGGGAGTGTAAGAAGAAACACTTCAAATGACCCGCGGGCTCCTAGCTCGTCACCCTATATCCTGGCTCCTAGCGCGCCACCTATATCCTGTTTTCGCTTCCGCCCTTTGATCGTTTCAGGTATCGCAACTTTCACTTCACGACGTGCCTCTACCCAGTTTACACGTGCTTCTTCTCCATCACGGACAGTACATCATTCACGCTCGCCATTACCAAGGATCAGATCTCGCATAATCTCTGCTAACACGATCTCTCATTGGTCAGGGTTTTACGTTGATAACTTGTAAACGAAGCCGCGGATTGCATTTTCGCTAAGGAAAAGGTTGCTTCGAATCATCTCGGGAACCCATTATTTCCCCGTTTGTACAATAATTTTGGGGCACCCTGTGGATACATCTGGTTAACACGTTCCGTGTCTCGTGTACCACCGATAAAATTTATGTTTGCGATAAATCAATAAATACATAAATTTGTAACAAATTTAGAAGTGAAGAATTTAATTTGCACTACAAGAATGGGTCATAATAAGTTTGTTTCATTGTTATACAATACATTATTTATATTAATATATTATATATGTATATTATTATTATATTATATATTATTTATATTAATATATTATATACTATTATCATATATATAAACAATATGTAAGTAAACTTGATATATAAATAATAATATAAGTAAACTTGAAATATTAATAATATATAAATATAAACTTGACATATAAATAATATATAAGTAAACTTGATATATAAATAGTATATAAATATGTACTTGATATATTAATAACATATAAATATAACCTTGATATATATAAACATAACCTAGAAATATAAATAATATATAAATATAACCTTGACATATAAATAACATATAAATATAAACTTGACACATAAATAACATATAAGTATAAACTTGATACATAACATACAAATACACTTGACATATAAACAATCAAACGTTCGACTCGAAGAGTCGAGCAAAAAAGAAGTGTCGACATGACGGTCAATTTGCCACCGAATTAACACCGAACGATCGCATTTATCGAAAATATCGAAATTCAGCACTCGGAGCCAGTAATTAATACAACAAATACACACACACAAACAAACTCACACACATACTATATATAGTACTTTCCTCCGCTCATCCGGCACCCTCGTTTCACAGCGTAACAAAATTATCAGCCGCTTCCGTAATTCACAAACCGACGTGGTATAGAGTAACCTCGACGGTTGACATTAATGCAGTAGCTTCGACGAATAATTATTTCTGATTTCGTTGCAGCTTCGTTCCAGGTCCGGTCGCCAGAATGATCACAGAGATGAGCCAGACAGGCCCCGACGGAAAGTAGAAATTAATATCGCCGGCGCGGCACGGCGCGGTGCGGCGCGTCCATTCGAGGCGTCCACTGACACGGCAAATATTGCATTTGGCATGATTAAAATCATCCATGGAATACGATCGTGTATGCTAATCGACACGCCGGGACGCCGCGCTCGGTGCAATTGCATTTTTAAATTCGGACGGCGCGCGCGCGACGCGCGCGTCGCGTTAAACCTGTCCGCGTCGAGGTATCGCGGCGTGAAACAACCCGTCGTGCGGTCATTATTCCGCGTTACATTTTTTCTTTTTTCCACCCCCGCGCGGCGAATCACCCTCCCCCCACCGACCTGATAATTCTGCCGTTTCGCAGTGTGAAACCGATAGCGCACCGTGCACCGCAAAGCGATGCGAAACGGTGATTTTTTTCATCGGGCCGATGCGAGACGACAGGACGTGTGCCGCTCGTCGCGAATTTCCGGAATCGAATCGCGAGAAATTGGATTTTCGATTTGAATCGAACGTTAATTGGTATCTCTCGATTGTCGGTGACCGGATGGACCGTGTGGATATTTAGCAGAGCGACGGAGAAAATGTATTTTTTTTTTATGCCGGAGACGCCGCGATGCGGGATTTTTTCCACGAATTCGCTGATCGAAATTATTTTTTTTTTTTCGTTTATGGAGTTTATGATGTGGCTAATTACTTATTTCAGAGTGTTTTAGCTTAGATGAAGTAATTGTGAACTAGTAAAAATAATTGGGAACGGATAGACATTATTAATAAATAAGTGATAATTATTAATAAAATATTTAGAATATTATAATGATGGATTCAAGTCGTTAAATTGTTATATTTTAACTATGTACTTTAACTTAGATAATGTAATTATGAACAAGTAAAAATAATTGGGAACGGATAGACATTATTAATAAATAAGTGATAATTATTAATAATATATTTAGTATAGTATAATGATGGATTCAGGTCGTTACATTGTTATATTTCAACTATGTATTTTAACTTAGATAAAATAAAAATGAACAAGTAAAAATAATTGGG